AAAAGACATGGGACAAATGAAGCTCAAACATGTAAGATATAATGGATAATTTCAAATGTATTCAGATCATTTTTAGAAGAAAATGAGTTAGATTTTTAAATGGAAGATGATTAGGTGATGAAGTGGGTGCAGTGTTACAACATGAAAATTAAAACATTCTTGTAACTTCTTTCATTGATTTGAACTCTTTACCTTCAGCCATCTTACTTTCCAAAGTAGCACCACATGAATTGAGCATCCCTCAGTTACAGCAACCCCTGGCCTTCCCTTGTCTCTGCAGTTCACACAGTGCTCAGGTGAGAGAACCAATCTATGCAGTCTGCAGACTCTGGTGGCTGCAAAGCCTGGAGGGAAGGGGAGAAGCTACCACTGCAAGTATCAGGGTGCTCTACCTTTTAAGAACTATAACTAGGCTCTTTTCATCACCTCCTTTTCTATTAGATCCATATGAGAGTCATAAAACCACTCCATGTTAATAAGCTCTTTGGTTGACTTCCAGTTTAAATTGTGAGCTGAAAAGGTGACTTTGTGAGCTGAATTGGCTGATGAGACATTAAGGAGGAGGAGGAAGAGGAGGGATGGATGTGTCTGATCTCCATTACCATGGCGCTAACAAATACCGATAAATTAGGGGCCCAGATTTAGCTCAGTGGCACCATGCCTGCCTGGCAAAGGCAAGGTCCTGAGTTTGATCTCTGGTACTGGGGGGAAAAAAGGATGTGAAAGGAAATACCAATAAATTAAAAGGGGGGAAAGTTTATTTTGGATCACAGTTTTGAGAGTGTCAGTATATGACCTATTGGCCTGTGGCCTGTGGCAACATAGGACATGGCGGCAGGAGTGTGTGGCTGAAGAGGCCGGAGCCCCCAATCCCAGGACCCACTTCTTCCTGCCAGGCCAAACCTTTAAAGGGCCTGTTCCTTCTAGTGCCAAGCTGGGTCCAAGCCTTCGACATGCAAACTTTAATCTTGCAAACTCAAACTTTAGCAAGAAGAAGGAAGGGAGATGAAAGAAAGATTAAATTCCCTATTCCGTCCTCATTTTTTACCTCTAGGAATAAGATTTCAGTTTTGATTATACCTCTAAATAGTGAATACTTCCATTAATACATATTTTTGCTAAATATATGATAAATAGTCCTTTTTATTAAGAACAAAGCTGAAAAATTAAAAGTTTGAAAAGTTGTAAAAAAAACTAACAACTTTATTTCTCAGTAGTAATTCCATTAGAAATTACTGAGAATCCACCACATCATGCTAGATTGGTGCCAACACATATGTATGTAAACAACTGAAAAGAATGCTGTACATCTGGTCCACATTCTCAGTCCATAGTCACTTCAGCTTTAGCCCTGGAGAGAAAACATGATTTACAAAGTACCACATGTAATTACTAATAGCTGAACTAAAATACAATCTAAAGCAAAATAGTGCGAAAGCAGGGTCGGGTGGTGTACTGCTGCAAGCCCAGCACTCTGGGAGACGGAGGCAAGAAGGATTGCAATTTTGTTACTTGGCAAGAATCTGTCTCAAAACAAAACAAAACAGATTTTAAGGGTCGGGAATGTTACTAAGTATGAATCCCAGGTTCAATCCCAAGTACTGGAAAAAAAAATTACCAAGTAACAAGAGGAAATCACACATAAAACTACTTCCAGTCTCTTCTGAAGTCTCACAAAAACTCTAGTGAAGAGATTTTTAAAGACAGAGAAACATGAACCGGGAGAATGCAAGCAGCAGCAATAACAAAATTTTGAGCAACTGGAAGAAAAAAAAAAAAAAAAACAGATGGATGTCAGTGACTTAGTAGAAATGAGGAACAAAGCTCCCCTGCGTTTGGCTGGGTGGGCTGTGACTCGCTGCACCCCAGGGCCCACTGTCCTGGACCCCCAGCAAGTGTACCCTCCCAGCGGTGCCCTGCACAATAGCACAGTGCATGCTGGGTAACAAAGGCAAAGCAGCCTTGGGGAAGAACCAGTCCAGTTTGTACCCAGAATTCTTCAGAAGTCTGGGATTAAGGCTTAATGTAGCACTGGAGAGGAGAGATAAAAAGGAAGTGCACACACAAGAAAGGTAGAAGATTATACATATACAGACATATACATGCATGTGTGCATATGCATACACACATTTACATATATACACATGTATACACATGCATGTACATATATATCTTCAGCTCAGAGAACATTTTGCTGCAAAATGTAAGGCCAGCTTCCAATTTCATTTTGTTTCCTAAATGACTGCTTTTATTAACTATTTGTTGACCGCCACCAAAGCTGCTCCCGAAGTTGTATGCCACTCGGTTGTTACAGCGTTGTGAGCTTCACGCGCCTGCAGATCTAGAAAACACTGGAGCTTAGGCTTCAGGTTATGTCCCTGTGAAACATTCACATCTCTAGAACTGTTTCTTCATTACCTCTGTTAGTTCTCTTTGTTTGCCTCCTTGAAACATCTCAGGAATTCACTACCCTCATGAAACATTTTCCTTAACTGCCCCAGTGTGGGGAAAAAAAACCCCTGATTATCAGAGCAAAAGTGTGACAACCATCAGCAATCTTTGGAACTTGGATGGTTTTGTTGGTCTTTTAATCGCATGTTTCTTCTGTGGGGTGAGACCGTACCAGAGCTTCCGTGTTTAAAGCTACTTTGTGCAGTCCAGCTCTCCATCCTGGCCCCATCCTCCATAGCCTGACTCTGCACTCCTGTCATATTTTACAAGGAGAAAGAGCACAAAGTGAAGAGAAACCAGAGTAATAGCTGTCTGCCCACCAAGGCTCACTATCACTGCCAGCCATCTGTAGATGCTATACCCCTTGCTTAGGAGGTTGTTCTATCTTATTCATCGGCCCGTAGGACTCCGTTGAGACTTTACACTTTGTGCAGCACCTTCTGGGACCTGGCCAGTGGTCACATAGCTCCCTTACCCACCCCTGCAGAAGCCGATGTGGGTTCCATCAGTGTACTTATGCCATTGCATTTCCCTTGCCTTATCCACAGTCTACCTGCCGGCTCCACAGTGAGCTCTTTGAAGTCCACAATGGTCTTGTTCTCAGTTATATCCCTAGCATCTGGCACAATCTTCAGCACATAATAGCAGCACAATAAATTATGCCTTGAACAAATGCATGAATAGATGTTTTAAATGAATGCATGATACATGGTCATTGCAAAGTATTTGGGAATGCAGCTTGTAAAAAATGTTTCACTGTGGTGTGAGAGGCTGAAGGTGTAGATAGGGACTGGATGTATGGTAGGTGATGTGAAATGGGAGGGGGGCGGAGGGGAGGGGAGGGAGGGGAATGGGATTGGTATGGGAGGAAGAGTGGGAACGGAATCTTTGTAGATAGGGAGGACTGGGGGGGTTGGGGGGAGGGCTGGGCAGGGGTGAAAGGTAAGAGCCAGGAGAGACTATGTGGAGGTGCAGGTTTCCAGTGATGAATGTCGTTGTATTGTGTACCTAAAATGTACCGATGATTGGAGTGAATGGTCGATAGTGTAAAGTGGGAAGAGGGGGTCCAGGGAGGTGGGGGTAGTGGGAGGGGCAGGGGACAGGAAAGAAGGGAAAGGAAAAAGTGACGAGAAATGGAAAAGATGGAAGTAAGGTCTTTGTAAATAGGGAAGGGTGGAGGGCGTGAAGGGAGGGCTAGGAATGGGGAGAAAATAAGAACCAAGATGCATTATATAAAGGTACAATTCCCAATGAGAAATGTAATTGTGTTGTATACCTACAATGTACCAATAAAAGAATTTA